ACACACACACACACACGCACACAGCTTTTCTTTTGTTAGACATTAAAAAAAATTAATTCTTGATCATTCAACTTGATTATTGACATTTCTGTACAGCCATCTTTTCTCGTTTAGCGACACATCATGGCTGTCCTTCCAGATCCGCACACAGATTTAACGCACGCTTGTTAAATAGAACCCCAGGTGGGGTTCCCCCAGTAACACTTTCACACATAACTTATTTACTGTTCCTTTTACTTCCGGAAGATTCCGAGGAAAGATCGCTGTGTCAAAGGTCACACGCGATTTCAATTTTAATAGCTTTTCCTGGATTACTTCCCCAAACGGCTCTCACAACTTGCACTGCCCTCAGCATGTGTGAGAGGGTCCTTTGCTCTCAAGGGTCTTCTAAAATATTTGCTCAAACGTTACTTAGCAGGGGCTGGGAGTAAATGATTTGCTCTTTTAAAGGACATACCGGTTTATGTTTACGTGAAGGAAATCACTGATGCAACGAGGCGAAAGGAACATTTAAGTGCGTCTTCCTAAAGCGGAGTGATCGCTTTTGTCACTTGTTCGAGGGGTGGGGGGGGCCCATCAGTCGTCCCTGTTTCTGTGAGTCGTCTACGAAGCCCGGGCTTGGCCCCGGCGACGCCGAGCGGCTTTAACGGGCGGCGTCCAGTCGGCTCCGCCAACGCTCCCGCCACCCTCGAGGCGCCCTCTGACTGCAGGCGCTCGGAGCATCGCATCGTTAGGGGCTTCTGGTTCTTCAAACATCCGGGAAAGTCCTTTTCCGGGCCTGGGGACAAGCCCTCGAGCCGCCACAGCCCCAGCCCGAGCGCCGAGCACGAGCGCACGAGCGCACGAGCGCCCGAGCTCCCGAACTCCCGAGCTCCCGTCCGGCGCCGCACAGCTGGGGACCCTGAGGCGTAAGGCGCTGCCGCTCAGCTGCGGGTCGGGGGCGTGGCGAGGTCGCACAGGTTCTGTTTTTCGCCGGCCTGGGGTAGCTTTCGGTTTCGTTTCCCGCCGGCGCCTCTACCCCGCGAGAGCCGCCCGCCAGCTAGCGGCGGCCGCCGCCCGCGTCGCGCCACCCGTGGTCCGACGGGCGCAGTCCCCGCGGCCATGGCCCAGGCTAGCGTCGTCGGTGAGGTGACCCAGGTGCTGTGCGCGGCCGGGGGCGCCCTGGAGCTGCCCGAGCTGCGGCGCCGCTTGCGGGTGGGCTTGGGCAGCGATGCGCTGGAGCGGCTGCTGCGGGAGTGTGGGCGCTTCGTGGTGGCGGCGCGGGCGGGCGCGGGCGGCGCGACCGCGGTCCCGGAGCGCGTGGTGCTGGCCGCGTCGCCGCTGCGCCTGTGCCGCGCGCACCAGGGCTCCAAGCCGGGCTGCGTGGGGCTCTGTGCACAGCTGCACCTCTGCAAGTTCATGGTCTACGGCGCCTGCAAGTTCCTGAGAGCCGGGTAAGGCGCGGCCTCGGGCCCGGGCAGAGGCCCCGAGCGCCCCTACGCGCTTCCAGTCGGCCTGGGGTCCTACTTGAAGTTTGAGCAGACAATTCGGTGGCTCTGCCCGGCCTCGCCCCATTATTCATTAAAGCGAGCGTTTGTTGAGCACCTGCTGAGTACCTGGCACAGTGCGCGGGACTCGTCGATTGGAGTCCTCCGGACTCCTGGGGAGAGAGAGTGACTTACAAAGAACGCGATAGTGCCGGGTGGAACATCCGGTTGTGGCAGTGTGGGGTAGGGGAGAGGGAGGCGGTGGCCTAGGGGAGCTCCACGGCGCCGTGGGTTCCCCTTGCAAGCTTTGAGGGCAGACAATGAAGGCTTTCTCTGCCCAGCAGCCGGAAGGGATCTTTAAACCCCGTTCAACCCTATTTATCTGGTAACAAACTGGAAACTGCAAGCTCCCTCCCATCGCCCACAAGGTCCTGGGATACTGGTCCCTGCCCACCCGCTACCTTTCTGTGCCTGGAACACCCCCCAGCCTGGGCATTTCTGGGAACATTTGCTCTGCCTGGACTGCCCTTCCTGCTTCAGGCCTCAACCTAAAGATCACATCCCATTTGAGGGCTTTTCCTCTCCTTACTCTTGGTCACAGGGAACTGTTTATTTTTCTCGTGGCACCCAGTTCCCAGTAGAATGGAAACTCCCAGAGGACAGAAGCCCCAACTGTCTCCCCAGCACTTAGCGCCCATGTTCTGATCGTAGCACATGGTCAGTGGGATGTGTGGAAGGGATTGCTGAGGTTTATGCTGAAGGATTTGGGCCTCATCCTGAAGGTGATGGGGCGAGTCAAATGGCACGAGAGAGCACCCATCAGGTTTGCAATTTAGGTAGTGGTGTGGGTGCCAATTTAAGGGAGAATGTCATTGGGAACCGCTGGGAAGCTAGTCCAGGAGAATTCCTTCCTCCCCTCCTCCCTCCTCTCTTGCTTGCGCCCTGGTGTGTGTGTATGTGTATGTCTTAATAGAGTAGATATTTCTTGCTCATGTCAGGTCAACAGTGAGCATGGGGTGGGGGGCCTTGATCCATACAGTCATCCAGGGACCCAGGCTAACTGACCTCTGTTCTGCGCTCCTCAGCACATGGCTCTTGAGGCCAGCCTAGGTATCAAGTTCCAGTAGACGATTGCGTGGGAGGTTTTTATTTTATTTTTTTGTTTTTATTTATTTGTTTTGAATCGGAGTCTTGCTCTGTCGCCCAGGCTGGAGTGCAATGGTGTGATCTTGGCTCACTACAACCTCCCAAGAAGCTGGGGTTACAGGCAGCTGCCACCACACCTGGTTAATTTTTACATTTTTAGTAGATACGGGGTTTCACCATATTGACCAGGCTGGTCTTGAACTCCTGGCCTTGTGATCCGCCCACCTTGGCCTCCCAAAGTGCTGGGATTACAGGTGTGAGCCACCACACAGCTGAATGGGAGGTTTTTATATGCCAGGTCTAGAAGTGGTGGATTTCTTTTCACCCACATCCCATTGACCAGAAGCTGTCTTGTGACCCTGTCTAGATGCAGGGTGGCTGGGAAATGTAGTCTCTAAGAAGCAGCTTTTCAGAAATATGTAGATTAGAACTTTCCAAGGGCTATGCGAGAAATTCTGAAGAGTTGAGTCGGTGACAGTGTGGTGAGAGGACATGAGAGAGGTGAACTTTCTCAGAAACTCTTCAGTTTCTGTACCCACTGTGGCCTGGGTGTTGTAGACAAGAAAACAGGAGAGGGTTTTAGTTTTGAAGCATGCCCAGGAAGCAGCTGTCCAGGTCAGAAACTTGAGAGGAAGGTCAGGGGCCTGAGGTGCTGGGCTGGTGTGGGAGACGTTGGGTGGTGTGGCTGTGGCTGCAGCCCCAGGAGTGGATCAGATCTGAGGTAGAGCCTGAGGCCTGAAAAGAGGCTGAGGGCGGAACTCCGGGGAAATCAGCCTTCAGGGATGAGCCAGTCCCGGGGAGGCTGGGGAACAGCAGCCCAGGAGGGAGAAGGCACACAGCAAAAGGTGGTTGGACGGAGCTTCTCGTGGGAGTAACTGGTAGATCTGTTTAATGTTCATATTTTGTAAAATAAAGATGGCAGCCCTGTTCTTAAACAGTTGAATTTCTTGAACCTTCCATTTCTGAGTCACTTTGGGGAGAGTGGGTGTGGTTGGCCACACTTCTGTGCTTCCCCTGTGTCTCTTCTTGTCTTCCTGAGCCTCAGGGTCAGTGCTTTTAGAAATAGGTCATCAGTCCTGCTGCAGAGGTGGTACGTAGTCCTGGTTCCCTGACTCTTAGTCCTGTGCTCAGGAGGCGGTGAGCCCAGTGGTCTAGGGCACAGTCCCGAGAACCAGCCCACCTTGTTTCAACCTGGGCTCTGCTCCTTGCTAGCTGGTGGCTTTGGGCAAATGACTTTATCTCCAGGTCTCAGTTCCCTCATCTGCGAAGTGGGGTTAATGATATTTCTCCCCTCACAGGCTGGCTCAGGACTGAATGCGTTAACTTATAAAACATTTTGGCCGATACTTGGCAGTTGCTTATTAAATTTTAGTAGTCATTGTCATCATTAGCCATCATTACAGTTATTAGATATATTTGGCTCTGGCAGCACCAAATTATTTGCCCCTCTTCTAGAGTGTTCTTCCTTTCTCCTCTTGCTGTCTCCTCCTCACCCTTTAACTATTCCATTCAGGCTTTATGCTGTCCAGTACACTCCCCTGATTTCCTCCCCAGTTCTCTCCCAGCCCAGCCTGGCTCACGTGCCCTTCCACTCTGCTCTGACGGATTCTGACCACAGCTGAAGTTGCACTTTCCACTGCGTATCAGAGTCCTCTCTGTCTGTCACCTCCACTAGATGAGGGAAAGAGAGCTGTCAAGGATGGCTTCGGGGTTTTTGGTCTGTGCAGTGGGAGAGGGAAGTTGCCTTTTACTGAGCTGGGGATTCTGTAGGAGGTGCGGGTTTGGGGTGGATCCAGGTTTGGCATTCTTCTGAGATGTGTATTATAAGCGTGGCATAGGTGGCACAGCAGTGTCTGAGTCAAACAAATGCTGTTGATTTGACTCTTCTGGGTCCTGGTGACTCAGGCAGTCATTTAAAGGTTTATCTTGGGTTCTCAGGGCATGATGCCAGTGTCTGGCTCACCCTGGTGCTTATCAGCTGCTTGTGGATGGAAAGAATGAAGGAAGAGAGCAGAAAAAAGGGCTGGGTTCAGGGCTGTGTGTGCGCATGCCTGCATGCATGCACGTATGTGACCTATAATGATAAGATGCCATGCTCATTGATTGAGCCTGTAGTTAACTGCTTACCAACTGCTGTGCAGTGACTCCTCTTTGTCATTCTCATCAAATGCCTGCTGAGAGGTGCCATCCTGGGCCATAGACCTTGAAAGGCCCCATCTCTTCCTTGGTAAATACACGTTAGATTTTTTGTTGTTGTCTTGTAGACATGCTGGTTTTTCTCTGGTGCTTGTAAACACTGTCAGGAAGTGGTTCTGAGCAATTGTCATGAAGACTGATTTTATCAGCTTTCAGTTTGCCAGCACAGCCATGACAAAGTACCACAGACTAGGAGGCTGAAACAACAGAAATCGACTTTCTCACTGTTCTGGAGGCAAGAAGTCTGAGATCAAGGTGTTGGCAGGGTTGGCTTCTTCTGAGGCCTCTCTCCTTGGCTTGTAGATGGCCGCCTTCTCACTGTGTCCCCACATAGTCTTCCCTCTGTGTGTGTCTGTGCTCCAATCTCTTCTTATAAGGACAGCAGTCATGTGGGATTGGGGCCCACCCTATTGACCTCATTTTAACTTAATTACCTCTCTGAAGACCCTCCCTCTAAATAGAGCCATATCCTGAAGTCCTGGGAGTTAGGACTCCAACATAGGAATTTTGAGGAGACTCAATTCAACATGTAACACCAGCTCTGCTTCTTTGCAGGAAGAACTGTAGGAATAGTCACAGCTTGACAACCGATCACAACCTGAGTGTGCTGAGAACTCATGGCGTTGACCACCTGAGCTATAATGAGCTATGCCAACTCTTGTTTCAGAACGACCCCTGGCTTTTGCCAGAGGTGAGTGCCAGGGGAAGTCTGGGTTCCACACCTCCCTGGGGACGTTCCTATATCTTGGGAAATGTAATGACTGCTTGGAATGGGTGGGCCCTTGGT